TGAGTTGACTGTTAATTTCTGTTCTACTTCTAATTCTATGTTTCTCCTTTCTCGAGATACTTACACACTTATTACTAGGTAACAATAATAACTATTATTACTATTGCTAGCATTTATATAGCACGTAAGCATTTGTACAGGGTGTTCTAAAAATCTGTTATCTTAAAACCGCATGAAGACTTTTGTAACAGCCTGTATTATCCCATCTGATGGCTCTGCATTGTGGTTGCTCAATCTATGATATTGACTAAGAGCAGTGAATATCTGCAGATGGAGAATGTCTGAACTGGAAGAGACCTTAGAACAGAGAATATCAGAGCTGAAAGGGGCCTTAGAACCCAGATTGTCAGAGCTGGAAGAGACCTCAGAACACAGAATGTCAGAGCTGGAAGGGGCATTAGGATATGAAGCGTTAAAGCTGGAAGGGACCTTAGAATACAGAATGTCAGGGCTAGGAGGGACCTTAGAACACAAAATGTCAGAACTGGTAGGGACCTTAGAACCCAGATTGTCAGAGTTGGAAGGGACGTTAGAATTCACAATGTCAGAGCTGGGAAGGAGAGACCGTCAAGAGCTAGGTGGGAACTCAGAACATAGAATGTCAGAACTAGTAGGGAACTTAAAACACAGTTTGTCAGAGCTGGGAGGGACCTTAGTCCAATTTTAATAAATATTTAATAGATGTTTAATAGACTCATATTTAATAGATGAGGAAACTGAGCCCCAGCAGGGATGTGACATAATTGTCCTACAAGATGCTAAAGAGGATACTTTGATTCCCTTCTCAGGGCAGGAAATCATTTCTTCCATCAGCTTGGGGGAGAGTTTTCATGTCCCTTTGTCACTTGAGATTTTTTACCTGGGACTATCTCTTCTCTGATCAACAAAAAAGGGGGATATTCCCCCCCTCCCCCGCACCTGCTGGCTGCCTGTGGTCCTAATCAAAACAGCTTGAACAGGGGGCTGGCATTCCTTCCAGGACAGCCTAACTAAGCCTGGGCAAGGGAGTAGCTAAGCCTGTTGTCGGGATGAAAGGCCTGCTGTCAGCAGCAGTAAATAGGCCCCCTCAAGGTCAGGCTCCACGTTATCAGCACTGGGCTCGAGTTCAGTCACGGAATGATGTTTTCCAAATGTTTGCTCAGTATTAGCCAGGTCGTGGACCTAATGTAACTTCTATTGAATATTAACAGACCAGGGGCAGAGCTGGGGCAGAGGATGAGCCTAGATTTCCCAGAGAGTCTGTATGCCCTGATGGCCATGCTGGGGCCTGGGATTTTCTAGTGTTCCCATTTTAACCATCCCTTTTACTTCCTTACATAGGATCCTAGATCGGGAGCCAGAGGGGACCTTCAAGGCTTCTTGTCCAATCCTCTCATTTTACAGATGAGGAAACAGATTCAGAGAGGGGAAGTTAACTTGCCTAAGGTCACATAGAAGCAGGATTTGAACTCAAGTCCTCTGACTCTAGAGACTCGATCCACTATTCTGTATTGCTCTCCACCTCCTAGGAGCAAAATGATTGGAGCTCTGAACTCGGAGTCAAAACACCTGGGCCCTCCTAGCCCTGGCTCCACTTCTAATTAGTTGTGTGATCATGGGCAAGTCACTTCTCTGGCCTGGGCTTCAGTTTCCTCATCTGCAAAATGGAGGCAATGCATTTGCACTATCTACCTCACACAGTAGCTTTGAAGAGAGTATTTTGTATACTTTATAAAGTACTATTAGCATACAAGTTGTTATCCTGGGACCCAGTTGTCTCTGGGCTGGATTCTGGAGACCAAGGGATTCTCTGAGTCTAGAGGCTGTGACCCTGACAGAAGTTTCTCCTTTTTCTGGTTGTAAGGAAAATTTTACCCTCTCTAGGACCAAAAGCTTAGCCCTGGGGTCTCCTCCAAAGAGATAGTATTGTTGCACAACCTGCTAAAGTCTTCCCCTCAAAAGTCAGCTTCCATCTACTCTGTATCTTTTATGTATTTATTTCTATGCTGTCTTCCCTGTTAGAATGTAAACTCCCAGAAGGCAGACACTGTATGTTGCCTTTCTTTGTATCCCTAGCACTCAGCACAGTGCTTGGCCCATAGTAAGCACACCACCAATCTCAAGCAGGTGAATGCCCCATCAGGATCATCAGAGACTGTTCCAACTTTTAGGAGCCAATATGAGGGCAGAAGGAACCAGATAGATCATCCAGAACCTAAGAACTGAGGTTTTTCTTTTCTTTTCTTTTTTTTTTTTTGCCTTTCTTGTATTCCCAGTGCCTTGCACAGTGCCTGGCTCATAATAAGGTTTAATAAATGTTTGTTGACTGACGTGTTTTCATTCTGGCTAAGAGGGGGAAAAAGGTTAGGTGTTAGACAGAATCTTCAGAAGATATTGAGATAAAGCCTAGAGACTCCAGCATTCCAAATGAGGGATAATTGGGCGATTGCTAAGTCTACCATGCTTTAGGGACTACTGACTACTTTATTATCTCCATTTCTGAGGTTTCTATTTCCAAATACTTCTGACGTGATTACCAGGAGGAGAACCTTAATGGCCAAAACTCCCAAAAGAATGGCCTTCCCAAATCAATGAATGAACTATCCAAGGAAATCTTTCTTGGTGTTGGATTCTCCCACTGGACAGGAGAAAGGAAGTTAGGTGCTGTGAGCCATTATGGAGGTATTTCATAGCAGCTCAGTGGAAACACCAATACCATGACTTACCCAAAGACTGACACCAGTGGCAATCAGTAAGCTGGACCTGCTGTCGCATTAATTGTTGTGCGTACATCAACAGAAAAGTTATCCCAGCCTTGTAAATAACCAACGAACTAATCTGTTACCAACCAGTCCTCCCCAATTATACTTGGGCATCCGACAGTAGCATCAGATATACCTTCCACTGGCCTGGTATACATTGTTACTTCTGGCAAGTGGGGCAAGTAGACAAGAAGTTTATCTCCAACAACCTGGAAATCTCATCCCACAGCCAACAGCTCTCCTAAGAAGTCTGAGAAGCATCGCTCCTGGATGACAGTGTGCATGTAGGTGTATCGGGTATAGGATTACTATAGGATTGTGGGCGTAGAGTATCCTAGAATCCTAGATTTGTATAGTAGGAAGACAGCTTGATGATCATAAGAGTCAAGGAAGGGAGAGCGATTCTCTCAGTCATGAGTACGAAATGTCTGTTAAACAGTGTGTGCAAAGAGATGACAGTGCAAAAGTCAGGGACGCCTTGGAGGGGGAGCCAAGGCTCTGGGTTCCAGTCCTAGCTCCAGACTAGATAGTCTTACTCTGTGATTTAGAGAAGTCCCTTCCCCTTTCTGTGCCTGTAAAATGACAAAGGTCAGTCAATTAAAAGACTTCTAAAGGCTCTTCATTGCCAATATGCTATGATTGCACATGGTATAAAGGTATTTGAGTGTTTCTATTTAAATCTGGCCTTATGCATAGGCAGAGTGGGTGGCTGTCTGCTGAGTCACCCCCTCCAGACAAAAAAATACCCTTCTGCTTGTTCAGTGCCTGAAATACCACCATGGAAAAAAGCCATTTTTGTTAAAATGCAAATAACCATGGGAAGCATTTGGGGCAATGAGCTAAGAATAACAACCTGCTGGAACAGGATAAAGAGCCAATGCCCAAAGAAGATCAAGGTGTCTGGGAGGAAGAGTAAGGGCCAAGAGGGAAGGAGGACAGGCTCCAGAGAAAAGCTTTCATGGCTTTGTGAAAAGCCAGCCCTGGTTCCATGTATGTGCTTTGGGGTGTGTGTGTGTGTGTATGTGTGTGTGTACATAGGACAGGGGACAGAGCTAATCACAGAGCTACAGGATGGGTGGGAATGGGAGGTGTGAAAGTTCATTGAAGAATATTTGACTGGAAACATAAAAGTGAGGCAGTGTGAGACAGTGGAAAGACTGCTAGATATGGAGTCAGAGGGCCTGGGTTTGAATCCTACCTCTGACTCTTTCCTGCTTACATGGACTTGGGCAAGTTGCTTCACTTCTCCAGGCCTCAGTTTCCTCATCTGTAAAAGGAGGGGTTTGGACTAGATGGCTTCTAAGGTCCTTTCCAGTACTAAATCTATAATCCTAAAATTAATTCATTTAATAAACATGTATAGAGTGGCTACTATGGACAGCTTCCTGGCTTCACATACTCTATGTGTGGCAAGGATGACAGATCATGGGATTTAAAATTGTAAGTGACCCATTTTAGAGTTGAGGAAACTGAGGCCCAAAGTGGAAAGGCAACCTTACATTGGATTCCATGGGCAAATGTCATAGTCACAGTTATATCACAGAATGTCAGAAATGGAAGGCACTTTTGAGACTCTCTAGTCCAGGAGTTCTTAACCTGAGGTCTATGAACTTGTTTTTTAAAAAAAATTTATAAGTGTATTTCAGTTCAACTGGTTTCTTTTGTAATTCTAGATATTTTACTATAGGCATTTAAAAACATTATTCTGAGAAGAGGTCCATAAGTTTTACCAGATTGCAAAAGGATTCTAAGACACATACAAAAAAAGATTAAAAACTTCAGATCTCATCCAAACCCCCTTTTTTTTTTTTTTAACAGATTAGGAAAGTGATTCTCCAATGAGTGAGGATGCAAAATAAGGATTAACCCCAGGTCTTTGATTCCCAGGCTGGTAATCTTTCCATTTTACCTTCCCTGGAGAGTATAAATGAGGCTGAGAAGGGAGGGAGGGGGTAGGGTAGGACTGAGAGAAAATGCAAATTGTGTGAAATGGCACCACCCTTTTCCAAGTCCTCTGGTAGAGGGTAAACTCATCAACCCAGACCTTCTCTCCACACCCTTGGCTGGGTGAGTCTGTGTAGCAGGGAGAGGAAGGAGAAGCCAGCTATCTCTTCGATTCTATTTCAAGAACATGGCCCCACCCTCTTCTCCACCATTAGCTTGCCATTTTTCTTAACCATCTCAACCCAGGGCCACTGGCCAAGCCATAAAATCATGGTTCTGCCCCAAAAGGGTGGAGGATGGGCAGCCCAAGCTCACCTTCCTTCTTCATTCCTGCCCGGAAGCATTTCTTCAGCCTGCAGTAACGACACTGATTCCTTTTGTCCTTGTCTACCACACACTGGCGGCTAAACCTGATGGGGGAGGAGTTGGGGGGGAGGGGAGAGAGAAATAGGAGTGGTGAGAGAAAATGGAAATTCAATTCCATGCCATTCAACAGATATTAAGTACCTACCATGTCCACAACATTGGGGTCAGCGCAGTGGAAACAGATACAAGCAAGATGAAGCTTCTGCTTTCAAAGGGCCATGAAACAAGCAAATAGACTGGAACATTGGACATGCAAAGGACAGTAGTGTGAGAAGGAAAGGCTAAGGAGGGTCTTGAATGCCAGAATAAGAAGTTCATACTTTCTTCAGTGCATAATGGGGAGTATTCTAACTGTCATGTGAATACCTACCCTGCGTAGTCCCACAGGGCAGAACTAGAATCAATGGGAGGAATTGCAGAAAGGTAGATTTCTGCTTAGATACTTGCTAACAATAATGGGCTGCCTTGGGAAGTAATGGGTTCCCCATCCTGAGGCCTTCAAAAGAAGTCTGAGATGACTGATGGTCAGGGATATGGAAGGGGAGGTTATGTATAGGTTGGCCTAGACAACCTCTAAAAACCTTTCCATATATTCCATGATTCTGAGCTTACTACTAACACAGGGAAAGTCATATATGCAAATAACCAGTATACAAAGCAGTAGGTCAGTGAAACAAGGTACAGGCAAAGTACTAGGACAAAATTTCAGCTGGAGGAAGTCCAGGGAGGCTTCATGGACATAGTGGGTCCCAAGATGGGCCTTAAAAGAAAGGAAGGTTTTAGAAGATGGAACTGTAAGAGATATCCATTCTAGCCTGCAGGATGTAATGAACAAATCTAATTTGATTCAATACATATTTCTTAAGCTCCCATTTCTGTGAGGTACTGAGTTAGATACTGGGGGTACAATACACAAATGAAATAATTCCTGCCCTCAAGGAGCTTACATTCTGCTGGAATGGCATAAAGCAAGGGGGGTGGCATAAGAAAAGGTTGGGATGGGAAGACAAGAGTCCAGTTTGCCTGGAATATAGAATAAGTGTAGGGGAGTAGTGAGAGATGAGGCCAAACAAGTGGGCTGGATCATATTTGTAAGGGACACTGAATACCAGGTTAAGCAGTTTATATTTTATTTGGAAGGCAAATGGGAACCTTCAGAAGGTTGTTGACTAGAGGAACGAGATGATCAAAGCAGTGTGTTGGGAAAGTTGCCTAGGCATTGTGTGAAGGACGGATCAAAGAGTAGGCAGGTTAGAGGCAGGGAGAAAAGCTGAGATAATAATCCAGACAAGTGGTAGTGAAAGACTGAATTAAGCTGGTAACTGTTAGTCAAGAGAAAAACATGAATGTGGGAGATATTATGGAGGCAGGATGGTCAGGATTTGGCAGCTGATTGAATATGGGGGTTGAGGAAATGGGAATGAGTCAAAGATAACTGAAATTTTGAGCCTGGGCAAATGGAGGGTAGTAGTATTACAATCAATAGAAAATAGGGATGTTAGAGGAAGAGCATTTTGGGGCTGAGAGGAGAAGATAATGAGTCTTGCTTTGGACAAATTCAATTTGACGTATCGGTAGGATGTCCAGTTAGAGGTATCAAGCAGGAAGTTCTAAATGTAAGACTGAAGCTTTGGGTTAGAGGCCTAGATTTGAGAGCTATCTACTTAGAGGCCATAACTGAAGCCAGGGAAGTGGATGAGGGTTGTCGTGAGGTTCAAATGATACACATTATGGAAAGTGCCATGTAAATGTTAACCTTTTTTACTATTAGTATCCTTTGGGACCAGAAAGGAAGGAATGTTATAATGTTAAGAGATGTAAAGCAGATGGCCTCAATCTTCTTAGTAAAATAGGAGGGGTGGTCATCTGCTGTTGATTGCAGAAACATTGTTCTTTTCATCTTGCTTGATGGAGTTCAGCTAGAAAAGGTCCTGGGACAGTCACTATCATAAGCCTTCAGGCTTAATGTGCTGCAGACTGTTGAATAGGTGGAAAAAGTGTTGTAAGCATCCTTGGTAGGTATACCCCCTGGAGCATCTGGGACAACAGGGATGCCATGCTCCTCATCCTGTCCCTACGTGGCTGTGAGTTTCACTGTTAATGACTGTATTTTGGAAGCTTCTCATTCTACGAAGCTTGGGGATGATGCATACTTGTTATGGCGACATCTACAGAAAATGTTCTTTAAATTTTTTATGGATCAATGTGATTGATTGACCAATGTGATAGGTAATTGTGGGGAATAGTTTGGCTTGTGATAATGGTCTAGTTACTATTTGAGTTCTCCAAGATATTTTGGGGTCTGCACTTGTGATAGAGAATTGTGGTAGGGACTTGTCATGTCTTATCCATGAAAGGTAATAAGCTTCTGGTACATACAATTCTGGTCAACAGGTTATATGTTGCTAGGTATTCAGCAGGTATTAAATTTTCATAGCCTGTTGTGATGTGTTTGCAATTTCTACCATTTCCTTGTATTTATCAATAAGTCTGAATTCCTTATGGCCAATCCCTCTGTAATTTTTGGTGGTGATGACCTGATCTTGAATTGTCATCATCATCATGATGATGACAATGATGACGATGGTGGTGATGATGGATATATATGGATTGGACTTGTGATTTCACTGGTACAGAAAATTCCCACACATGGAAAATTCCCTCTACCAATATAGGTTGTCACCTTTTCTGTAAATCATAGCCTTCAAGAGTCCCATAGAGAGGTTAAGTGATTTGCTTAGGGTCAGAGGTAGGTCTTGAACCCAGTCTGGCTTATACCAACCCTATGAGATAGGTGCTATTATATTCCCATTTTATAGATAAGGAAACTGAGGCACAGAGAGGTTACCTCACTTACCCATGGCCACATGAGTAATAAGCATCAGGGACATTTGATTTGAACCCATACCTTCCTGATTCCTACTCCAGCACTCTATCCAGGGGCATAGGTAGACGGATATCCCAAGCTTCTTCCTGTCCTATGCTCACCTGCATGAGTACATATGGTTCTTCCTCACGCTCCTGCGGAAGAAGCCTTTGCAGCCATCGCAGCTGGAGGCCCCATAATGCTTGCCCGTGGCACGGTCCCCACAGATGGCACACATAGGACTGACCCCCAGGCTGTTGGGGGCATTGAGGTTGACACCTTCAGATGGAGATGCATCTGTGCAGGGACAGAGAGCATAGAGGTGGATGAGCGAGGCCTGGGTGGGGTAGAAGTGACAATGTTAGTGGAAGGAACATTCAGTTTAAAAGTCAGAAGACCCTGGTTTAAGTCCTGTTTCCAGTAGTATCTGTGTGACCTTGGGCAAGTCTCTTGTCTTCTCTAGGTCTCAGTTTCCTCATCTGTAAAATCAAGACAATGGTACACTAGCACACAGTGTCAGTAGGGAAATACATTGTAAACCTTAAAGAGTTATAGAAACATGAGCTGTTATTATTAATAATTTTCCCTCTAGGAGACCATATTCTGGTTTAGTTCCGTCATGAGATGAGTAAAAATCAATAGGTTTGGGTCAAGTCTGGGAGCCTCAGGGCAATTCTAGGGAAACACTACCTGCAGAGATCCAGGTCACAGCAGCACACATTTCTAGCTTTTATAATTCACAATGCAATAACCCCTTCTGAGAGGTGAGGAATATAAGTTATTATCTCCATTTTATAGATAAGGAAACTAGGTTCTGTCACACAACTAGCAAGTGTCAGAGCTGGGGCTCATTCTGAGATCTTGTACTACCAAGTTCAGAACTCTCTTCTAGACCATTCCCCCAGCAGGGGGATATACAAGGACTCTTCCATCTGCTTGGCCAGGGAAGCCTCACATGGCGGGGTAGAGGGAGAAAAAAGAGACTTGAAAATCAGAAGGTACAAACTGGAGAGTGTCTAGAGGCTGGATAGAACTTAAGCTAGTTCAACCCCTTTATTTTACAGGGGAGGATATTAACGACCAGAGAAAAGAAATCACTTGTCCAATGAAATCACAAATGGACAAAGTCGAGACTAGAACCCAGAACATTTGATTTGCCATCCAAGTTCTTTCCACTGCACCCTACTATTTGGGACACCCAAGGCATGATTCCATGGCACAGAAAGGAGGCAGTTCAGTAAGGTGGAAAAACCAGCACCAGTTGGACAGAAAGAACCTAGCTTTGCCTACTCTAAGGTTGACCTTTCCTAGAACCCTCCCTCTTTCTTAACTTGATCCAGGGTCTCCCTTAGCACAGCGGCCTCTAGGCCTCAGAAACAACCACTGTAGTTTCAAGGGATTATGAAAAAATAAAATAAAATAAAAATTTTGAAAAGCTGGTTCTCCCAGCTTCCACTGGGTTGGGGCTACTGGCCTGGGGACCACTGAGCCAATAGTAGCCTCTGGCTCTACCTCGATAGAAAGGGGAAGTAAATAAATGACTGGGAGTTTTGGACTCCTACCTCAGTGTAACTGTGTCCAACTCCTAAAAAGGTGTGCACAGCCCAAACAGATTCCTGGGCAGGCCAGTATGGGCAAGGCGTGGTAGTCTGAGGCTAATACTGGGATACAGGGAGTAGGGTGCTCCTCATTAACTTCCCAAAGACCCAGGATTCTCTCCATCTCCAAGAACAACCTGGGATTCAATCTCAAAGTGATTCCAGGGATGAAACCATGAATATGTAGGTGGTCTGAATGACAACCTGGTCCAGCACCCCACCCCCACCAAGGGGAGATGAAGGCTAAGGAACTAGATAGTCTCTAGATCTGCCTTGGAGATGAGGTCCAAATTTAGGTGGAGATGATGGGGGGCAGGATTTGCTCAACCTTTCCTGTAGTTCCATGGAATCTTGTTAGAGTCCTGGGGAGGCCCCCAAAGGTTCCAAAAAGGCCTCAGGGTGGGGGAGAGGGGGAGGTGCAGAGGGTGGTGGAACTTTCCCAGGATTCCGTGGAGCTAATGTGCAAGGAGACTTAGGCTTTTGTTATCTTGGTAGACTTAACTTTTCCATGAATGATGTTTGTGTTAGGATGTTATTTCTAAAACAAATTCTTTTCTGTTAAAAAATGACACATTCTCCCTATAGCAATGCATTGGTTCCCAAATACAATGAAGGAATGGAACAACGCAACTTTAATTTAAATAAATAAGTCAATTTAGAAGTTCCATTACTTTAAAAAAGGGTTGGCAGACCTTTCATCCAGGCTGGTGACTGGGATGGGAGGATGAAGAAGGAGAGAATTTCTTCATAGGTCTTTGCTATAGATTCTTGCTTGAACTTGGTTCTCTTTGAATTAGAGCTCAATTACTCTAAGGACTAGGGACTGTTACCCTGTCCCCAGGGAGGGAGCTTAGAATAATAATGATGATGATGATGACTCTCATTTATATAGTGCTTAGAGATTGATAAAAGTGTTTCCCCTCACAACCACCCTGTGAAGGAGGTTGTGTAAACGTTATAAACCCCATTTTGCAGATGATAAAACTGAGACTAATAAAGATTAAGTGATTTGCCCATAGTCAAACAACTAATGAATAGCAGGGCCTTGATTTGGAGCCTGGGTCTCTTGACTTCAAGTACAATTTGTTTTCCATCAGTCTCCCTTGCCTGGCTCTGCTCACCTCCTTTTCTCTCCAGTAGAGTTAACTTACTGAGCCTCCTGGACAACTGTATGATCCCTGTCCTAATGGGAAATACACCTTAGAAAAGGAAATAAGTCCTATTCATAGATAAGAGGATATTTATGTGAGATAGCATGATGTTGTGGAAAGAGCCCTAGAGATCTTGGATTCCAGCCCCAGGTCTGTAACCAACCAAACATGTTCCCTTAGCTTCATTTCCTCTCTGAGCCTAAGGGCAGGTTGTGATGAGATGAATTCTATATGCCTGCTAGCTCTAGTATTCCATAGGAGTATTATTATGTATCTATAATACATATATAGTGATGTTGATGCTGATGCTTACAGTCTCAGATAAATTCCAGGCTGCACACAGATTGGGAATCTTCTCATTTCAGGTTGGTTGGGTTGATGTTCTCCCTCCCCCATGGGATGAAACCCAGGGGCCCCACAGCTGCCCTCCCTGTCTACCTGCCCCAAGAGTTCTGTGAATTATTGCCTGAGGCACGGTAATTGTTAAACTGTGTGTCCTTTCTCCTTTACTTGCCCTCTTCTCCCTCTCATCACAGCAGTCCCCATCCACAGGGAGTGCAGACCCTCCCCCCAACCTTGGCTTCTTAGAGAGACACTGAAGAAACCTGGGCAGATTCGAGATGTTTTATTTGGGTTCTGAGCACAGAACAGCCAGGCATCCCTGGAGGCTGAGCTGGAGAGCTGAGAAGGGCCAACTTTTCTCTAATGTCCTGGGGCTTCGGGGCTGGAGGGTGGGGTGGTGGTGTTGGACTTCTTCCCAGCAGAGGCCCTGGATGGGTTCAGTAGAGGTTGGGAGAAAATCTTTTCCCTGGCTCTGAACTCTGGAAGACCCCAGGATGGGGGTGAATTAGATAACAGAATAATCTGGAGGAGGGGGAAAGAGGAAGGAGAGGGGTAATGATAGATCCTTTGCCCATTGGGAAAACAACCCCAAGTCATTTCTTTTTCAGCTCCTTCCCCTTCCACATACAGGGCAGGCAAAACATTCTAGAATACCAGAACCCTAGATCTTCTGAGCCAGAAGGGCAGTGTGGCATAATGGAAGGTGTGCCAGATTTAGAGCCAAAGGACCTGGGTTCAAATCCCAGCTCTTCCTCTTACTATCTATGGGATCCTACATAGACCACTTTTACTTCCTAGACCTCAGTTTCTTCATCTGTAAAATTAGGGGTTTGGACTAGATGGCCTCCAAGGTCCCTCCCAGATCTAGAGCAGCTAGTGGTACAGGGGATCAAGCATCGGGCTTAGAGTGACATAGACCTGAGTTCAAATCCAGCCCTATACACTTACTAACTGTGTGACCTTGGGCAAGTCACTTGACCCCTGTTTGCCTCAGTTTCTCCCTATGTAAAATGGAGATAATAATAGCACCTACCTCCCAGGGTTGTGAGGATCAAGGGAAATAATAATTGTAAAGTGCTTAGCACATAGTAAGTGCTATATAAATGTTAGTTATTATTATTTACGGTCTAAGGAATTGAACCTGTTGACTTCTAAGGTCCTTTCCAGCTCTACATCTTTAGCCTATGGAACACAAAATGTTAGCACTGAAAGGGCCCTTAGCACACAGAACGAGACTATAAGGGAATCTTGGAGGTCCTCCAGTCTGATCCCATTATATTTTTTTTCTTCAATTCCTTATTTTACAAATAAGGAAACTGATCCCAGAGAAAAGTCATCTGCCAAAAGTTACATAATGTGACATCTAGAGCCTGGAGCTCTTCAAGTCCAGGTAAGGGCTCTTTGCACCACCCTGGGAAACTCTTGCTTCCCTAGCTTAGAGCTGTTTTGTATTTCCTAAGTCACGTGTCCAGCTTTACGTGGGGTGGAAGTTGGGTCCGGTCCAGAAGGGACATGGGTGGAACCCGCTCCCTTGGTCCTTGGGGAAACTGCAGCAAGAAGGTGCCACAACAATCTGAACTCCCAGAGACTCTATCCTATGACCTAGCCTGCTGGAGACCCAGGCTCCAGTCCCTTGACCCTGGCCCAAGCTCATTAGCTTCCTCTCCATTCTTCTTGCAGGAAGCATACAGAAGCCATGGGAAGTGGAGGCAGAGGAGAAGCCCGTAGTTACTCCTATGGGGAAAGCATCAAGGCAGTGAATGAGGCATTGGACTTGGGAGCCGAAAGACCCGGGTTTGAGTCTTCTCCCTGTTGAATGACCCAAAACTAGTCACTTCCTCTCTCTGAGGCTGTTTTTCAATCTATAAAAAGGAGATAATAATAATTTGCATTTCCTGACTCACCAGGCTTCTGGGAGGAATGTGCTTTACAGACTGTTAAGCCTGTAGAACCCACCCAGCCAGAGCCTGGCCTCTGTTAGCAGCCAGGAAGCAAAGGCTTCCTAGGAACCCCTAGGAAAGGACTTCTTGAACCTAGGAACCCCTAGGAAAAGCCCCAGATCTCTGGAGCATCCATAAAGAACTTGGATGGGGAAAAAAAATCACGTCTTTATTTTTACTAATCCCTAACTGAAATTTGACATTTCCTTCCATTATAAATTTTAAAAAGAAAAACATTTCAAGAAGGAGTACATAAGCTTCACCAGACTGCCAAAGAGGTCCATGACACATAAAAAGATTTAGTAACCAACCTTGGATTGGGGCTTGGACACGCCAGGTTAACAGCTGTCCCCCCAGGCCTGGGCATCCCTAGTAATAACAGTAGAGCACTTCCTTATGGTGCTCAACAATTTGTGAAGTCCCTTCCTCCCAGCTCTGAGCAAGGACCAGACCTTGGGCCATAGCCAGCGGTGTGTTCTCATTCGGAGATGGAATGGTTGTGCAGGGACAGTTTGTGCTCTCAGTCATTCCAACAGAATTTTCTCTTTCTCAAAAGTTTTCATGATCATAGGATCACCATCATCACCCTTGAGAGAGGGGGAATAATGGAGGTGCCACTCATTATCCCCATTTCACAGAGGAGGAAACAACAGCCTGGAAAAGGAAAGTGACTTGCCCATAGTCACACAGCCAGTTAGTAGCAGATTTGGGACTGGTCCAGGGCTCTTTGACTGAATCCAAGCTGTTCCCTATCTCCATACTTTTCACCAGCTTTGGACTACACCGCTACCAAGCTTTCTTGCTCAGAAATCACCATAAAAGAGACCATTAAGTACTATGGCCTGGGAACTTTCTGTTTCGTGACCTCATCAACTTCTAGCTTCAGGTGGACTCAAAAGGCTTTATTTTCCTTGGGCCAGTCTGAGACTAGAAGGAATATCTGATTATCTCTGATCCTAGGCCCAGTAAACACTCTAGGAGGGCTCAGTTTACATGTCTATGCAGGTTTGAGAGTAGCTGGGATCTTCAGTCTAGAAGATCTGGAAGAGACCTCAGCAGTCATCTAGTTTGACCCCTTCATTTTACAGATAAAGAAACTGAGGCCAAGAAGTAAAGTGACTCTCCCAAGGCCACACAGGGTAGTAAGTGGCAGAGCCAAGATTTCAAACCAGATTCTGATTCCAAAGTCAACAATCCTTCCACTTAGTCCAAGTCTGTGTGTGTTTCCCTGTACATACATGTGAGCATATATGTGGGATAGCAACATAGGCACCCAAAGATCTGGATTCATCTGCCAACACAGACAGATTTGTAGCCTGACTTATACACAGTGGCAACGTCATAAGCCTACATACAAATGGAGTTAAAAATAGAACTCATATATATATACAAATATGGGACACAAATACAGATCTATATCTATATCTATATATCTATATATATCTATATATATCTATATATAGATATACATATATACATAATATCCAGGTGACTTCTTATATCATGTAACCACTTTGCCAAAAAAAATCTTTCTCCTAGCTTCTCTCCTATGGTTAACCCAGGGGCACCCTGTGATATACTGGCATCCCCTGCCCCCATCTGCCTTCTCTGGGAATACACTTTCCTGTCCCCCTAAGTCCCTGGGTTTTCTTTCCTTATTTCTCCACCCTTCTCTGGACTGGGGAATGGAGGAGCCATAGGCCTGGCACCCCAGTCCACTGTCAGAGACAGATGGCCCCGATACCAACCAAATCAGTCAGTCAGCCAATACGTATTTATTAAGCACCTACTATGTGCCAGGCACTGTGCTAAGCACCAAGGATACAAAGAAAGGCAAAAGACTGTTCCTCACCTCAATCTAATTAATGGAAGAGATAGCATGCAAACAACCACATATGATCAAAATATTGCAGGATAAATGGAAAACAATCAACAGAGGGATTGTACCAGAATTAAGGATTGCGAAAGACTTCCAGCAGAAGGTGGGATTTTAGCCGAGACTAGAAGGAAGCCAGGGAAGCTGAAGCCCTGGCCTAGTAGATTCACTGAAGGGAAGACGCAATCGAGATTGCCAACAGACTCTACGTCCTATAAAAGTTTCTGGCCGGGCACCTGTACGTACCTCCATATAGATCATAGACTATTAGAGCTAGAAGAAAAATCTTAGAGATGATCTGGTTCAACTTCATCATTTTACATTTGAGGAAAATGAGAGCTAGCGAGGGCTAATGACCTAGTCAAGCTGACCTGTGCACACACACCCGTACGTATGCCTCCGTGTGCACTGGCACATACGTGTACACACACGCTCCCGCACATATACTTCTGGGCCTCTGCAGAGCCGCAGAGAACCTCGATACACACACCTCTACTTATTTATATAGCACCACACGTCTTTATACATCTGTATGCGGCTGTCCACATCCGAGCACACCGCCTGCCCCCGCTCCCCAAGCGCCCCTGCGGGCAGGCTTACCGTTGCCCATGGCCAACACCTGCACATTCTCGAATTCCAGAGTGGTATAGGCTGGGTCCAGGGCAGCGCTGTAATCTGCCATCTCCATGTCGACAAGGGCTTTGGAGAGACGCATTCTCTCCTGCCTGTCCAGAGTGGCCAGTTCCCTCTCGTGAGGCGGCCTGACCAGAAACAGGGCCACTTTGGCCTCCCCCCCCCCCCCCCAGCCTCTCTGTCCCCTCTGCCTCGGCCCTGATCCCTCTATCTGTCCTCCTAGATTTCAAACATTTCTCTGAGAGGATTTACAGAGCTTTCGGCCTAGCCTTTCCTGAGGGGTGGAGGCAAGAGACTAGGGAGGGGTAGGGGTTAATCTTTAATCTTCTTACCCTCTGGTGGACACCATGGGGCTGGGCGAGTTAGGGTTGGGTTAGGCTAGCCCGGGGTTTTTCCCTTTCTTATGGGGGCCGTCGTGATTAGGTTGGCTGTTGGATTCGGGGCTGACATCTCCTGTGCTAATTACAGCCCCCTAGGTCATCCGTCTAACTTTCTCCTTCCTGACGCTCGGAGTGGCACAGTACAAACTGTGCAGCCATGAGACCTGAGTTCAGTCTTCGGCTCTGTCACTTACTAGCGATGTGATGCTGGACGAGTCACCTCACAGAGTGATATTGTAGAAAGAACACTGGCTGTGCATTCGAAGTACCCGAGTTCAAACACCATCTCCGGTGCCTATTACCCTGTGTGATCTCGGGCAGATCATAATTTCCCTCAGTCTCAATTGGACTAGATAACCTCTGAGTGCCTTCCAAATGTAGCACTGTGAACCTCCCTCTGACTCAGTTTCTTCATCTGTTATAGCAATAGCTCATATTTCTATAGTGCTTTAGGTTGACAAAGTCTTATCCTTGCAACAATCAAGTGAGGTGGCTAATGTAAGTATTATCATTGCCATTTTAATACTATTTAGATTAATATTGAAATGTCGTTTTTTACAATCTGGAGTTTTCCTGACTGCAGATGAAGAAACTGAGGTGTAGAGAGGTACATTGACTTTTCATATTCACACAGCTAATGCCTGGGCCAGGATATGAGCCCTGGTCCCCTGACTCAAAGACCCAGTGCTCTACCTCACTGATTTCTCAAATGATCAAACTTTCTGATACACTGACTTCTAATCAATGTATATTTTAATATGTGCTAGTTGTCCCCCATTAGCTCAGTAAGATCATTGCAAATAGGGCCTGTTTCATTCTTTGTACTTGTCTGAGCCTGGCACATAGTAGGTCCTTAATAAATACTTGTTGATGGATTAGTATTCAATGAGCATCTATTCTGTACTAGACACTGTGCTAGGCTCTGGAGAGACAAAGACAAAAAAGAAACATCTAAAAATTTCCCCTTGATGAGCACATAGTGACAGGATGGGGAATTCAAACTCAAGCCCAAGCATCTCTTTCTCTTAGACCCTGGTCATTTTTCCTACCCATCTCTCTTCCTGACCACCTCTTTTTCTCCCTAGAGAATGAAAAGATTCTCATTCTTTTCCTAATATTCTCCACTTTGCACTTACTGTACACTCTACCTACAATGCTTTCCCTCTTCATCTCTGCCTCTTGGAATCCCTAGATCCCTCCAAGGTTCTGTTCTAGTGCCACCTCCTTCAAAAGGCCATTCCTCTTGCTAGTGTCCCAAATCAAATCGGTATTTATTTATTTTTTATTTATCCTGAATTACTTGAAGCTCTGAGCATGTTACATTCCCCTAGGAGAATGGGAAGGACAAGGAATGCCTCACTTTTGTATTTGTATCTTCTAGTCCTAGGAAGGAGCCAAGCACACAGCAGGAATTTAATAAATACTTGTTGATGATCCATAGAATCTTCATTCTAAAGATATGTATTGTGGTGCCAGCCCTGGAGTCAGGAGACCTGAGTTCAAATCTGGCCTTAGGCACTTATTAGTTGTGTGACCCTGGGCAAGTCACTTAACCCCTACTGCCTCAAAAAAACAAAAAAGTATTACGAAGACAAATAATAATAGCTAGTATTTAAATAAAATTTTAGGACTTGGAAAGTGTTTTACATCTATCTCATTGATCCCTACAACAGCCCTGGGAAGTGGGTGCTATTATTATCCCCATTTGGCAGATGGGAAAACTCAATTAGACAGAGGTTAAGTGACTTGCCCACATTCACACAGCTCATAAGTATCTGAAGTCTAGCACTCTATACAGTGTACCACCTAGTCACGCTGAATATACACAATCCCTAAGTAGATGTTCATGGTAACAAGATTTGTCATAAATTTCACATGATGCCCAGGTTAGAAGAGTCCTTAGAACACAGAATGGCAGAGCTAGAATAGATCTCAGCACCCAGAGCAGTCAAGTTGAAAGGCAGATATTCAGGATCATCTAGTCTTCTATTTTACAGACGAAGGAAGAAGCCCAGGCTGAGAGAAGGACCTGAGGCCACCCAGCTCATTATGAACAAGCTCATCTAAGCCTAGTGCTCTTTCTGCCATACTGTGGCTTGTCATTCTTACCTCTCAGTGACCTAATGCCTCCCTCACTCTCTTAATACACAGACATTAACTTGAGTCTTCTCTCTCTAGTACATTGGAAAGAGGACTGATCCGAGAGACAAGAGGCAGCTTCTAGATCTGGCTCTATCAGTTACTGGCTGTGTATCAACTCCCTTCTCTGGGTCTCAGTTTTCCCATCTGTAAAATAAGGGAATTGTACTCTATTTCTAAGGCACTTTTGTAGTTATGCCTTTGTTGCCCTCTAGGATTCAATCTCTTCTTCTTCTTTCATTGTCCTTCTTTTAAGAAGCCTTAAGAACATTTAAAAATGTCACCTAAGATAGTACCCACAGGTCCTCCAGCTTCATATTCTATCTCTGAATAAGGAATTTGCTGAGAGAGGGTTCAAATAGACCTCAAAATTTAGGAGTATGCCCCCATATATCCCAGTTCCCCTTAAAACGCTGAATGTCAGTGCTGATGGCACCTTAAGAGACCATTTGAGTTAGAAGACCTGGTATGTTACCTTGGGAAAGTTATTCAATTTCTCTGGGCCACACTTCCTCATCTGAAAAATAAGGGTGTCAGACCAGATGGACTCTAAGATCTCTCCCAGCTCTACATTTAGGTGCAATATCCTCATTTTACAGATGGAAAAACTGAGTCCCAGACAAGGGAAGTGACTTGCGTAAAGTCACACAACTAATTAGTGGCAGATTCAGAACTCAACAAGTCCTTGACCAGATGTGTAACTAGCCAAAACTGTTCTTGGCTTTGTTCAGTTGTGGGGGAAGGGGCAAAGCATGGCAGAGAATAGGCGTACTATGGGTGCTGTCAGGCCTTGCAGCAGAGATGCCCTCAGAAAACCAGCAGGGGAAGCATGGGGACTCAGTGATGGCAGGGAGAACACATCCCTAGATGCCCACATCTTAGGGAAAAACTCCATTTGCCCCTCTCTCATTCTGGTTCTGTCTCAGACCTCTGGGTCTGGGATTTTCTTCCCACTGCAACACAACCTTTAATTATCTTTATAGATCTATGACCTGGGATCTAAATCTCATCTTACATTCCCCACTATGCCATCAACTGGGGGTAACAAACTCCATAATCCTTGTGTGAAGAAGGGTTTCCCTTAGTTTGTTCTGAAGGAGTCTCTTCTAAACTTCCTGGGCATCATCAATCAATCAACAAGAATTTATGAAGTGCCTACTATGTGTGAGGCACTGTGCTGGGAATACCAATACAACATAGGAAACACTCCCTACTTGAGAAAGAGCTTACATTCTAATAAGGAAGCTTAATGTATATACATATATATATATATATAAAAATACATATAAAATAAATATAAAGAAAATAGATACAAGTAAATACAAAGTAGCTCTAGCAGTTAGATGTGATCAGGAAAGGCTTTATGTAGAAGGTGGTGGCTTTGCTCTCTCTTAAGGGAGGAGACAGGGTAGCTAGGTAGCGTAGTGGATAGAGCTTGGAGTCAGTTAGATCTGAATTCATAGCTGTGAGATCCTGGGAAAGTCACTTAACTCCTATTTGTCTCAGTTCCTCATCTGTAAAGTGGGGGCACAGTGGAGAAGGAAATGGCAAACCACTCCAGTGTCTTTGCCTAGAAAATCCCATGGACTGGCCCTTGGAGTCAGGAGGACCTGAGTTCACTCACTAGCTATGTGACCCTGGGCAGGTCACTTAACCCCAACTGCCTCATCAAAAAAAAAAAATCCCATAGACAAAAATCCATCAGGTCACGTAGAATTGGACACAACAGAATAACAACAACAAAGGAAGAGAGGGATTCTATGAGGCAGAGGTGAGGAAGAAGTAAATTCTAGGCCTAGGGAGGATGAGGTGGGATGACCAACTCAAAGGCATGTACACAGGAGATGAGGTATGGTATGCAAGTAACAAAGAGGAGGCCAGTTTGGCTAAATTGCAGAGTACTGGAGGTTAATTGTGTGAAGTGAGGCTGAAAAAGATAGGTTGAGGCCAAGTTGTGAAGGTTTTCAAAACCAGACATAGGAGTGTATATTTGATTCTAAAGGCAATAGGGAGCTCCTGGAGTTAAAGGACCAAAGGAGCACATGGTCACATCTGTGACTTTGGTCACAGTGTGGAGAAAGAACTGCAATGGGAAGAGACTTGAGGCAGGAAGACCAATGAAGGGGCCATTGCAATAATCCAGGTGAGAGGGCATGAGGGTGTGAACTAAGGTGTTAGATGTGTGAGTGGAGAGAGTGGATCATTTGTGAATAACTGGTGGAGGTGGAATGAGCAAGGTTTGGCAGGTGATAGGAGATATGGGCTGAGCTCAAGTGAGAACTGGAGGATGATGTCAAGGTTATAAACCTGGGAGACTGGAAGAATGGTGGTGCCTTTGATAGAAAGAGGGAAGTCTGGAAGAGAAGAGTGTTTAGAAGGAAAGAATGTGAGGGGGTCTTCCTCACCCCCCTGGAATCTGCTGAACAAGTCTCTGCTTTCCTTCCTCATGTCCTTGAAGGGTTCATAGACTTCCTCTGTTCCCCTCCCCTGACCTTCCACTTTAATAATAAAAGTAATAGCTCACATTTTTAGAGTGCTTTCAGGTTGACAAAGCCCTTTCCTGACACACCTGGGTGTGGTAGCTCACACAAGTGTTATTGTCCACGTGTCTGTCC